GCTGTCACTTTTAAGGCTTCTTCTCCCAACACAGCAAGCTTCCTGAGGTCACTTAAGGAGGGGGCTATTTGGAGTTCTCTTACTTGATCCTCCTTCGAGAATAAATCTATTTCGGAAACCACCGATTAGGAACTGGTATCGGTTCTGGGGTGGATTGTTGGCTCTACACTCGAGCTTTCGTTGAATATGTCTCTTACTCCTACGTCGACGTCGTCCATGACTTTCCTCCGATACCAACTGAGAACGCGGGCTGTTTGGTCATCGCCCGGGTTACTACGCTCAGAGGAAGAGGGGGAGGTTCCGTTCGTCGGGCTTCGATGACGTAATTTTCCTCGGTTGGATTTTCCATAAATATGGGCTCTTTCCATATTCCTTCTTCCGCTAAGTCGTTCCCAATCAATAGGTCTACGTCTTTTATGGGGAAGTTAGTTGGAGGGCACTCCGATTGACGTCCAGCCCGTAAAAATAGGAGTTTCAACATATAACTTGTACAGGGGTACTCGCGTAGTGGAGCCACCATAAGCTTCCCAAAAGAGCGTCGAAACCCGTATATGATCTGGCGGGGAATGTTTAAAAGTCCTTCTCTTAATAATGTTAAGTAGGACCCCGTATCCCTAAAAGAATTTACTTGCAAAAAACTGGCTATCGGTAATTCCTACTTTGCTTTTGGAAAAAATAAGGACTCATAGCTCTTGACAAGTTTGCGATGATACCCATATTCTGCTTAGTCAACTAGGAGGATCTGTTCCTTTTCCTTGGGACAGAGCGTCTACTCTTGGCTCGGATTCCTGGATGAGTCGTAGAGGATATGATTTGTGTGGGCAATCTATAGGTGGACTCCTTCCCTGGTCCCTATCACGCTTAAAGCATTGTGATTTGAAATGTCCCAGCTTCGAACAGTACGAACATTTAATTTTTTCCCCTGCTATCTGGTCTATAGGATGGGCTCGATTGAATTTGGTGTTTTACTTCGGGTTTACTTGTTACAGGGAAATGAACGGGGTTGGGTGGTCGCTTACCGAAAGGCTTCGCAGGTTCGGGTCTCGTTGCTGGTTTGATAACCTGGCTGCTTTCAGATTGTACCAACCTCTGGGAAATCTCAAAGTTGTCTGCCAGCGCCGCAGTCTCTAACAACGTCGTTTGCGGATGGCCAACAAGATACTGGCGAACTCCCTCTGGAAATTTGCATACAATCTTCTAGTAACATTAAATTTTGATAGATCTTTTAAAGTCGTGACCCGAGAAGCTCGACACCAACGTTCAAACGCCACTGCTTTCCCTCGGGCAAAATTAAATAAGTTTGTCCTGTTTGCCGTTTCATGGAACGTAAAGCTATTTGGTAACTAATAGGGAGCATGTCATATGCTTCTAAAATAGTTCTCTTTACTACGTCGTACTGGACATAAAATCATATGGTAAGGAGGGACACAAGACTGCGCCTTTCCATTTTAGAGTGTGTGCAGCAATGTGGCCCCTTTTTCTTTGGGCCAGCCCATTGAACGTGCTGATTTCAAAAAATTTTAAAGAATTCATTTTAAGTCTGTTTCGTTAAACTTGGTACCATTAGAGCTGCTTTATGCAAGTCAAACCCGGTTACCGTGCTCTTCACGTCTTTTTTCTTCCGGAAATCCCTTCTGCTTTTTTTCAAAACGAAAACCCTTTTACGCCTAAATTCTTCCTCGTTTAGACGTCTTCTAGCTTCGATTTGAGAGTTTTGTAATAGTAATATGCGTTCTATTCTCTCTGTTGTTCGGACGTGAAATTCCAAGAGGTAATGACACCGAAGGGAATTCGGGCGTCTTCTCCGGAAGTATTTTGGGACGAGCAACCAGTCCTAAAATTATCCCGTCATTTGACTGAGGGTTCGTTCCAACCACCGATACATACTCGGGGAAGGGAATGAACGGGGGAGAGCTTTGAGACTGGACTGAGTAGTAAGGCCTTTGTAAACCCTGGTTCAACTTCATTATTTAAGGCAGTTCCGTCCGTGGGATTTCTACTTCCTCAAACTGAGAAATAAAACTATCTTCCGAATCTAGTTCTGGCATTGCTTGGATTTTCGGAAATAAACTATCCTTAATTAGGGACCTAAGAGTCTTTGCGCTATGGGATCTATTATAAGGTATATCTAACTGTCTAGCTATTTGCCAACACGTCTGTAATTTTAAAGTGTCAAGAGTTTGCCTCTGTTAATTATTAATAATGACTTAATTTCTGGATCCCTTTTCTTAATTCTCGCAAGGGAGCTTAATTTTAATGCAAAACAAATATGTATTCAGGGTAAGTAGCTCCCGGACAGACAACCCATTTGTTACGACTTAATCTTCACCGTAACAATTAGGGGCACAAATAACTCCATTTTTTTTGTTAGCTTTATTTATTACCAATCATTTAGCTTCATTGGTATTTGGTTAGTGAATTAAAATAACACAAGTAATTAATAAATGAAAAAAACTATACAGCAGAAACCCAATCTTAAGTTCAAATTCTCATTAACAGAGGGATGATAAAATAATTTCAATAATAATCTGCTCTTTTTAGAAAGGTCTAGGGTAACGAAATAGTTATCTTTTATAAGTGACATGAATTACCAGACTAATGGCAAAGGCAAGACTTTGTATAAAGTTTTAGTTTAAGCTAGGAGCCCTTTTGGGGTTTAAGACCCCTACCGAGTCAGAGCTTTGGAGCTGACTGACTCACTCAACTACTTCATAGTCAGACTTCAGCTCTGCCAGAAGGCGACGCGTGGCGTCAATTCTAGAACCACCAATTGGTCAATACAGTAGTGGGTTTCACATTCGTAATACCTAACCTAATAATAATAATATATATTATATTATAGTTATTAAAATTTATGGGGAAAGATATAATATACAATATAATACAATGAGAGTACTTTTGATTCATACTGTACCCGATAATAATATATAGTCGAACCTGCTTTATCTAGCTAGTAATAAAGTGGTTCGCGATATATTATTACAGAACTTATTTTAACCAGGCCTTTTATTTTTGTATATAATGGAGTGAAGTAGGGGCGCGTAACACTGACCCAGGCTGGTGAGGCCAGGTAGTGTGCCGTACTGACTCAGGCTGGTGAGGCCAGGTGGTGTGCCGCACTGATCCAGACAAAGTTTTCCAGTGGGCAACTGAAAACAATATGATGTTCAATGAGGACAAATTCCAACTACTCCGTTATGGAAAACTGGAGGAGATAATAACTAGAACAGAGTATACTACAAACTCTGGCCATACAATAGAGCGGAAAAATAATGTAAGGGACCTGGGAGTAGTAATGTCTGAGGATCTCACTTCCAAGGATCACAACAGTGCCACGATCACAAGTGCAAAGAAAATGATAGGATGGATAATTAGAACGTTCAAAACGAGAGATGCCAATCCAATGATGATCCTTTTCAAATCATTTGTTCTCTCTAGGCTGGAATACTGCTGTACATTAACATCTCCATTCAAAGCAGGTGAAATTGCAGATCTAGAGTGTGTACAGAGATCCTTTACTGCACGTATAAGTTCTGTCAAGCACCTTAACTACTGGGAACGCTTGGAAGCACTTGACTTGTACTCGTTGGAACGCAGGAGAGAGAGATATCATAATCTACACTTGGAAAATCCTGGAAGGAATGGTCCCGAATCTGCACACAGAAATCACTCCCTGCGAAAGTAAAAGACTGGGCAGGCGATGCAAAATGCCCCCAATTAAAAGTAGGGGCGCCATTGGTACACTAAGAGAAAACACCATAAGTGTCCGGGGCCCAGGACTGTTCAACAGCCTCCCATTAAGCATTAGGGGAATTACAAATAAACCTCTGGCTGCCTTCAAGAGTGAGCTGGACAGATACCTAAAGTCAGTGCCGGATCAGCCAGGCTGTGGCTCATACGCTGAACTGCGTGCGGCCAGCAGTAACAGCCTGGTTGATCAGGCCCCGATCCACCGGGAGGCCTGGTCATGGGCCGGGCCACGGGGGCGTTGATCCCCGGAATAACCTCCAGGTAACCAGGCTGGTGAGGCCAGGTGGTGTGTCGCACTGACCCAGGCTGGTGAGGCCAGGTGGTGTGCCGCACTGACCCAGGCTGGTGAGGCCAGGTGGTGTGCCGCACTGACCCAGGCTGGTGAGGCCAGGTGTGTGCCGAAACTGACCCAGGCTGGTGAGGCCAGGTGGTGTACCGTACTGACACAGGCTGGTGAGGCCAGGTGGTGTGCCGCACTGACCCAGGCTGGTGAGGCCAGGTGGTGTACCGTACTGACACAGGCTGGTGAGGCCAGGTGGTGTGCCGCACTGACACAGGCTGGTGAGGCCAGGTGGTGTGCCGCACTGATGCTTTGTCTAGGTGCTCTTACTCACCTGGACAACACCCGGGCCGGGACACTTCCGGCGAACCACCTCCTGCTACAGGTGCTTGTACTTTCATTATTTCTATTATTTGTGCTAGTTGTAATTTTCACATATTATTGATGGAAATCACTCTCTACTAAAGTAAAAGACTCGGCAGCGATGCAACATTACCCCCCTCCCAGTGAGAAGAAGAGGTGCCATGAGTACGCTAAGAGACAACCCAGTAAGAATCAGGGGCCCAGGGACTGATCTCCTTCACTCGAAGCTAAGTGACTGATCACCTTTACTCGAGGCTGAGGGAGTGATCACCTTCTCTCAAGGCTGAGGAACTGATCACCTTCACTCGAGGCTAAGGGACTGGTCACATTCACTCGAGGCTAAAGGATTGACAACCTTCACTTGAGGCTAATGGACTGAGCACCTTCACTTGGAACTAGGGGACTGACCACCTCAAAATTGTCTTTCCACTTCTAGTCTCCATGATTAAATCACCTCTGTATTCCACTGAAGAAACCTGTTGCGCAGGCGAAACGTTTCGATAATAAAGATAACCAAGTGTAGCACATGTGTTTATTCATCAGGTAGTAGCAATCTCAAAATATTGTTGCATAATTATTACACATTTTAGTTATCCATTTGCCATACCTTCCAGTTGCCATTGTTAATGCCTTGCCATTGAGGGACAACGTTAGCATAGTAGTAGGTGGCGTCCTGCTCGAAAGTGTACACGAAGTCAGCGTCAGGAGCCAGGTGACCCTTGGCTAGGAACTGCTGCCCATCCACTGTCAGGATCTTCCGCGACCCCAGCACCTCGTCAGCCAGCCTCTCCTGGTTCTTCTTGCTGTACAGGCTGCTCACGTCGGCTGAAAACATCTCTGCGCTCTTGAACGATGGGCGGCCAGCGTCTACGGATTTCGCTGCGATGTGTCTGGTAAGAAACGAAGCAAAGTATGATGTGAAAGAGTTTGTAACTGGAAACTAACCACCGGCAGCTTTATCACCAGCATCACTAGAGTTGTAATATGTTCCTTATCTCAGCACCAACACCTCTGCTGAGAACAGCAACACCTCCAATTGTTAGAGGTGGTAGTGGAAAACTTCACCGAGTCATTATGTCAGGAACGCAAATGGAAAGAGAGAAGGTAATGAATCAGCAAGATTGGACCTTGTGTTAACTCTAAGTGACTCTAATGTAGAGTACACTGAATATAAGATTCCCCTTGGTGCTTGTGACCGCACAATACTGAATTCAGTTCGAATAACTTATGGAAGTGAAGGTAGAGAGAGAGAGAGAGCATGAAGGAGATTACAAATCTGACTTGAAAACTGGAGACTACGCTGGCATGAGGCAAATCATACTCAGTAGCAGAAAAAGCACAGGCAAGAAGAGCGTAATTTGCTCATGACTGTAACCGTGTATAGGAGTGAAGCTGATTCATTACCTCTGTAACTTGCCATGATTGTGACCAGATCTACCTGGAGTTCATTACCTTTGTAACTACTTCAGCTATCATAACTTTGGGGTCCAGTCACTGGACCCAGTATGTACCTTTGTAATCTTTTGACTACCGCCCACAGGATAGGTATGGGGTGCATAATAAACATATTAAACTAAAGTGTACTCACCTATTTGTGGTTGCAGGGGTCGATTCACAGCTCCTGGCCCCGCCTCTTCGCTGATTGCTACTAGGTCCTCTCTCTCCCTGCTCCATGAGCTCTATCATACCTCGCCTTAAAACTATGTATGGTTCCCGTGTGTGTGTGTGTGTGTGTGTGTGTGTACTCACCTATTTGTGGTGTGTGTGGTATGTGTGTGTGTGGTGTGTGTGTGTGTGTGTGTGTGTGTGTGTGTACTCACCTATTTGTGGTGTGTGTGTGTGTGTGTGTGTGTGTGTGTGTGTGTGTGTGTGTGTGTGTGTGTGTGTGTATGTGTGTATGTATGTGACTCAACAATCAATATTTGCACAATAACTCACTACAGTTGTGACCGGGTGTGGAAGTGTGAATTGCTCATTACACTATAATTTGTTCATGATTGTAGCCATGTATAAACGTAAGTAACCATTCTACAGAATTCATTACCTTTGTAACTTGTGAGCTCATTACCTTTGTACCTACTTCAGCTATCAAAACTTTGGGGGCCCAGTCCCTGGACCCATTACGTACCTCTGTAATCTGTAAATACCTTTGTAACTTGTCATGATTGTGACCAGACCTACCTGGAGTTCATTACCTTTGTAAATTGTGAGTTCATTACCTTTGTAAATTATGAGTTCATTACCTTTGTAAATTGTGAGTTCATTACCTCTGTAACTTGCTCAGCTATCAAAACTTTGGAGTCCAGTCCCTGGACCAATTATGTACCTCTGTAATCTTTTGACTACCGCCCACAGGATGGGTATGGGGTGCATAATAACTAACTAACTAGAAGAGCGAGTCCATGGCTCAGCCAAAAGTAGCAGGTTGGTAGAATCTAAAAGTGCAAGAGTATATTAGAAATATATGAAGCAAAGAACGTCAAAAAAAAAAAAAATGGGAAGTGAGTAGAAGTAAAAAATAAATATGAATGGGGGAAAAGAGACTGAAAAAATGTTTGGGAATGACATAGAAAAAAACCCCCCCCAAACTTACCCCCAAAAGTTGCTTACAGCCACATCAAAAAGAAACTGTAAAGGGGTCAGATAACGAGGTAAGAACGAAGGTTGAGGCCATTGAAATTACCAAAAAGCCTCTGAGGGCTGAACCAAAAAATTAGGGATGTATTTCAGTGGAATCGGGAACGTTTCCCAGAGATTTAAAGGAGAGTGCATCAGCGAGTGGGGCACAAAAACCCCCAAAATGGGGGGAAAGGTGAAGATACAGCTAAAGGGGAGCAAAAAACTGTGTAAACCACTAACACCATCTTAAAATAAGGCAATTGAAAGGGGGAAGCTGCCGGGGTCTGGAAAAAAACCAAATGCCCGTGTTTTAAAAAGGGGGGGGGGGGGCAAAGATAGTTTAAAATAAGCCATTGTCTCTGACATGCATGGTTTAAGGTTAAAGGATTATGAAAAAGATAATGGAGTACCGGGAAAAAGGACCAGTTGATAAACAACAGCCAGCAGGGTAGCCCGGGCCCAAAACACAGAAATTTTATAAAAAGGAAAATAAAAATTAAACGGGAAGAAGGTATGGATGGACTTTTATTTTTGAACGTAAAAAGGCGTTCGATATAGTACAAAAAAAAACTGGGATTTGAGGAGAGTCAAGAATAAAAAGGAAAGCATTACACACAAACTATTGGATCACCGAAAAGGTCCTAAATCCCTAGAAGACAAAAAAGAATGCAGATGTAATATAACGGGACTTTGCAAAAGCCTTTCGACAAGTGTGACCATGGCGTAAAGCGACAAAATGCGTGAAAAAAATTAACGGGAAAATCCGGTCGATGGATCTATAATTTCCTCACTAACAGAACCCAGGGTGTCGCCCAGGTAAAGTCCAGGCAGTACGGTGAAAAGCTCTGTTCCACAAGGCACAATACTCCTCCCATCTTGTTCCTCTCCTCATATCCGACATAACAAGGTGCAGCCACAGACCGTGTCTTCCTTTGCGATGACACCCAATTTGATGACAGTGTCTTCCTTTGCAGCACTGCAAGGTGGGCGGCACAACCAAATTTTTCAGTGGCTGCGAAAAAAATATAAATTCACGATGGGGAAAATTTAAATTAACGTATGGTAAAATGGGTTTTTTTATGGAACAAAAAATTCTGGCCCAAAATAGAGCGAAACACCAACGTCAAAGACCGGGAGGGTCTTTGGAGGATCTCCTTAAAGGACCATAACTTGTATAAATCGCATCTGCAAAAAAATTTGAAGGATGGAAAGGAAAATTTTTTAAAAATAGGGGGCCCAAGATGTGAATTTAGGTACTTTTTTCTTTTGGGAGGTTTGCTGCAAAAATTACCCCTTTAAAGGCGTGAAATTCCGACTGAAAATTTACAGAAACTTTCACGGCGCCCAAAACGGAGATAAAACACCTCAATTACTGGGAGCGCTTGAGGTTCCTAACCGTATTCCCTGGAAGCAGGAGGGGGAGATACATGATTAAAACACCGGAAAATCCTAAGGGGCAGTACCCAAAATTGCACAAAAATCACTCCCACGAAACAAAAGACTTGGCAAAGATGCACCCTCCCCCCCCGTTTGTTTAATTGTTTTTTTATGCACCCCTACCCTCCTGTGGGCGTGTCAAAAAGATTTCAGAGGTACAAATTGGCCAGGGACTGGATCCAAAAAATTTGATTGAGCAATTACAAGGTAAAATCACAATTTAAAAGGTAATGAAAATCACATTACAAAAGGGAAGAACTCAAATTTAAAAGGAATGAATCACAAAATTTCAAAGGTAATGAAATACAATTTACAAAGGGGAATGAACTCCCGGTAAAACCCGGTCAACCCAAAAAGAAAGTTTAAAAGGTATTTCAGATTACAGAGGTAGTAAAGGGTCCGGGACTGGGCCCCCAAAGTTTTGATGCTGAACTAGGTACAAAGGTAATGAGCCCCAAGTACAAGGTAATTTAATCTGAGAATGGTTTTTTTTTTACTTTGGCTACAATCATGAACAAATTATAGAGTAATGAGCCCAATTAAAACTTCCAACCCGGTCCAACTGTAATGAGTTTTGGGGCAAATATTGTTGTTTAGTCACACACACCCCCACAAACCCCACACCACACACCACACACACAAAACACACACCACAAAACCACACACACAAACACACCACCCCAAATTTGTTTAAAATCTTTTGCACCCCATACCCATCCCCGTGGGCGGGAGTCAAAAGATTACAAAGGTACATAATGGGGTCCCCGTGAATGGGCCCCAAGTTATGATAGTGAACTAGTTAAAAGGTAAAGAATCCAGGTAATCTGGTCACTAACATGGCAAGTTACAGAGGTAATGAATGCTTCACTCCTTTTCATGGTTACAGTCATGAACAAATTAAAAGAATGAAAACCCCTGATATCCCCACCTGGTCACAATTTTTAAAGATTATAAATACAAATATTAAGTGGATCATCCCCCCAATGAAAAGCAGGGGTGCACTCACGTTTAAAGACCATACAATAAGTGCAGGGCCCCAGACTGTTCAACTGCCTCCCAACTATAAGGGGGGATTACCAACAACCCCTGGCAGTCTTCAAGCTGGATGGACAGCACCTAAACTCGGTTTCCGATCGCCCGGGGGTGGCTCGTACGTTGGTTGCGTGCAGCCAGCGAAAAAAGCCTGGGTTTATCAGGTTGATCACAGGGGGCCCGGTCACAGACCGGGCCGCGGGGGGCGTTGACCCCCCAACTTCTCCCGGTAAAAAACACCACTGTACCAAAAGCACAATGCAGCAGAAAATCAGTGTCAGCCCAAATCAGTAGAGCCCACAATCAGCAGCAGTACCACACTCAGCAGACCACAAAACGCGCAGAACCACACCAGCGCACCCCAACAGCAGCGTACCACACTAGCAGCACCACAATCAGTAACAGACCCAGTCGTAAAATTTTGACACATGTGCAACTCTTGGGTTCTTTTATTGACACCCAAGAGTTGCACATGTGTCTAATTTATCAACATGTCGGTTCTCTGAACCATTCATCTACACCACCACAGTCATCAGTAGCACCACATCACCGTCACCCACTCCAGCACTCACACCACCAGTAGCACCACATCACCGTCACCCACTCCAGCACTCACACCACCAGTAGCATCACATCACCGTCACCCACTCCAACACTCACACCACCAGTAGCATCACATCACCGTCACCCACTCCAACACTCACACCACCAGTAGCACCACATCACCGTCACCCACTCCAACACTCACACCACCAGTAGCATCACATCACCGTCACCCACTCCAACACTCACACCACCAGTAGCATCACCACCACCAAGACTTGGAAAAATAAACACATAAGCAGTATAATGTGATCGTTTATTGACAACGTTTCGCCCACACAGTGCGCTTTATCAAGTTACAAATAGATCTGTTTGTGACTTGATAAAGCCCTGTGTGTGAACGAAACGTTGTCAATGAAGGATCACATTATACTGCTTATGTGTTCATTTTTCCATTGTGTCGGTATTTTATACCATTTATTTCCACCACCAAGACTTACACCACTTCTACTACCGCTACCAGCACAATCACTAGCTCCACAGCACCTGTACCATCACCAGCAGCACTCCTGCCAGCAATACTCACACCAGAAGCAGCACCAGCTTCACCACCTGTAGCACCACCCACACCAGCACCAGTTCTAAATTATTGCTTCCACCACTATGAACAGTACCCCCAGCAGCAACAATATCACCATCAGCGATACCCCTAACAGCGCCACCAGCAGCACTACCAACAGTATATCCCCCAGCAGCACCAGTAAGCCAGTTGAAGGCCTCGGTCAGATGACCAAAAGCTTCAGTGGCGGGTCATGTGACTAAGACCCGCATCAGGAAACAATTGCACCGTTTCCTGACGAATCTTACCTAATCTAATCATCATCATTATCTTCTGCTGCTGCTGTTGCTGGTGGTGGTCGTCCCCCAGCAGCACTACAAGTAGCACCTCCGCCAACAGCACTACAAGCAGTATCCCCCAGTAGCACTACCGGTAGGAGCACCACTAGCACCCCCCATTAGCACCAGCACCCCCCCCCCCGCTAGCACCAGCACCCTCCCCCACGAGCACTCACAACAACAGCAGCAGCACCACCACCACCACCACCAACCAGCAGCAGAAGAAGATTAGAACAGGTAAGATTCGTCAGGAAACGGAGCAATTGTTTCCCGACGCGGGTGTTAGTCACATGACCCGCCACCGAAGCTTTTGATCATCTGACCGAGGCCTTCAGCTGGCTTACCGCTCCAGTACCACCACCAGCAGCAGCAGCACTACCAGCACCAGTACCACCAGTATCACTTACTTTCCTTGTACTGCATGCCAGGTAAACTTAGTAGTTTCCGTGGTTGGGTTGAAACACACATGGATCTGCGGCAGTACTATTTTTGCCAGACTCCAGCCCAGAGTGTACATGACGCCTCCCTCTCCACACTGGATCTTCTGCGCAAGCCGCAGCGTGGGTTGCGGCTTGCGCAGACAGTCCAGCTCTATCCACTGGATCTTCTGCAAGAAGGTAGAGATGTAGTCATGTGAAATTGGTTCGAGTCAGTATGCGTTCTCACCGATTTATCATTCAAATATCATTATGTTAATAGCATAATACAAGACCGGCAAGTGAAATACACATGTATTTCGACTGAAGAAACTTGCTGAGCAGGGAAGATGTCTCAGCAATAAAGAAGTTAAACTGCAGCACATGTTCACTGATTTACATGTTCGTCCATCAACTGTTAACTCTTGCCCCCTGTCACCTTCATTACTTATAACTGTTATTATTAATTTCTGACCTCTTGAGTATTATACCTGTTAATGAAGTTGTGTGTGTGTTGTGTGTACGTACATACGTACTTATTGCTTAAGCAATGCAATAAATTATATATAAACAAACATATTTATAATGCATGCTGACACTAATTTTTACCTCACTGATAAGAGTTAGTTTCCCTCCAACTACCCTTTCCCCCCCCCCCCCCAAAAAAACTCCCC